CGAACTATTAATAAGGCGCGGCGCGGTCTCCATATTTTTTGACAGTGACGTGAAGTATTCTAAAAATTGCCAATACATTAAAAATCGATTATAAAAATAATTACGACACGGACAGGACTAGAGCCGGCATCTAGAACATTCCGTGCTGTTGCTCTAACCAATTGACCTACCGTGTCTTACACATCTTCCTCGAATATTTTCAACTTTGATACATGCAGCTTTCGCGCAATGTTATTTCTACCTTAACTTGCGTATTGAGGTTAGAATTTTTAATCGATTTTTAGTTTACATTGTGCCATCATGTGCAATAACATGTGAAAAATATTAAAGTTTTTAAATTGCCAATACGTTAAGGAAAACCATTTGAAATACAATACACGTATATTACATATTTGATATCGACTGGAGTCTAAGACAATATTGACATTGGCTTCAGTAAACCTCTGAGCTTTGATTATGTCAATAAATGGCAGCTTCCCGTGAGAATAGTTAAGATTTTTATTTGATAAAAATATAGAAGATTTATAAAACATATGTATCTTCTGTACGTAGTACTACTTACTCTTAGATAACATTAAAACATTGAAATAATAATCTTTTCATTACAATTGAGGTTTAGGAGCGAGTCTTATTATTTTAATAAAAAAATAGCCAAACAAATTTTAATACATATTTTTCTACGGGCATTGTATAATTGTATAGTAGAAGTGGAACTATTTTCTACTACACAACATGGCATAAATGGTTCGATTTAAATTTTGAACTGCGACAGTTTTGACTTAGAAATCTGTGTGAAAAAATTTCGCGGGTAAAAATCTATTGTTCTTCAACTTCGTCATGGATTTTAAAGTTATATTAGACTTAGTTTTTAACATCCGCCCGCTGTTTGAGAAAAGTACTTTAAAAGCCTTGGCAACTAGTGATTGATGAACTTACGTATGTCACACGTACGTCCAACAATGCCGCTGTTGCCGGTCACTGCAGTAATGTACTACATATTATAAAATTGGAAACAGTTCAGGGAATTTAACTCGCGAAAGACGATCAACGCGCCGTTGCTGTCGTAGCTATAACGATTCATATGTTTAAATATTTTTAGAAATTTCAAAAATAGATAGTATAATTATCATTAATAAAAAACGACTACACTAATGGCAGAATGCGGTTTACAAATACTGGAATAGAAATAAAACTTTTAAATGTGCATTGTTGAATCCGAACGAGGTCTGCGGATGCAAATAGGAGTGTACGCGTACGGAACCGGTCTCTAGACGATAAGGTAAAGCTCGTGTGTTAGCCGATAATGCAATCTCAACATCCACCCTTCCACAAGGGGACCAGCCCCTCTCCTTATCAAAAACTATCATAGACCCTCGGATACAGTAGTCGATTTTTAGACGAGTCTCGCACAAAAGTCAACAATGGGAGATTATATTTTTGAAAAGACTGACGGAGTATTGTCATTGTTGCATCATTTTGTTGTTGACAGCTGTTGGCTAGTTGTTCCTACTATTCGGTCTGTTGTGATTGTATGTATTTTATGTAGATTGTACGTAGAATGAGATACTCAAATTCTAAACATATAAATAAAAAATAATAATCAATTGTCTGGAGGTATGTTCGCGCGTCACGTACGACAGTACCGTTTTAATTGAGAATTTATTTAACCAACTTGTAAGGGAACGAGACCTTTTTAATATCATTCGATCGTACAGTTTTATATGATACATAATAAATATTATCTGTGGTTTTGCAAGTATTTAACACTGTATAAGAATCTTCTACCTATGATCCATTTGACCATGGTTTCTTTTAGAATCCGAAACGTCATACCTAGTTAAAAATAACTAGAATACGCTTTTATAATGTTTAAAGGGATTTACCTATTTAATTTTTAAATACGTAGACTAATAGGAAGCGCATATAATCATAAAGGCTCTGTTGTGTGAACTTTATATTACAACTTTAGCATCTCGATGAAGCTTAAACCTGCGCTCATTAATAAGCAGAGGCATTCCCATAAACTTTGATGTCTCTTAACTGCGTTACTTACGAGTCCTAGATGAATGTTCACGGACTATATTTATGTCGCTCCAGCCTTATCCTTTGCTGCTGCGGGCCAATATTTTGCGCTAAGTACCATTAATGCATCCATAAATGGATTGCTATTGGTGTTTTATATTGTACATTAAGAACATAAAACGTTCTTTCGCAGGGTTCAGGATTCAGATTAATTATCAGTGATAAGGTAGTATCATTACCGAGTAGTATGAGTTGGTAGTCTTTTTTTAACAGGATATCCCAGATTTATAACAACTAGTCAGCGACTTCGCGTAAATCGTTATTTAAGGCATCAAAATTAGTTTTGCAATCCCTTTCATCTTTATAAAGTTAAGCTGTTACCCACGGCGTCGGTCGCGTCCCTTCCCGTCGTTCTTGCAAGTCAATCTTAAAAAATAGATATGTAGCGTCGCAGACTTTTTTTTTAGATAATTTTAAGAGGAATCCTTCTTTCAAATATATTTTATAGCCTTCCTCGATAAATGCTCTAACCAACACAAATTAATGAATTTTTCAATTCGAACTCGTAGTTCCTGAGATTAGCTCGTTCAAACAAACCAACAAACTCTTAAGCTTTATATATATATATAATGTAGATATTTCATAATGTTCTAAATTTGAAAAAAGACATCACTACCGTTGGACCAACAAGCAAATGAAAAGTAAACGTTAAAGAGATTATTTCCTTTCTTATAAGATTTTTGCTTCTTTTCGTAGGTATGAGTTTACTAGTCATGTAAAAGAGGCGTTTGAAAAGTCACATTTCTTTCGAAGAGAACATACACTAGGGTTACCCTAATTATTTATGGTATAAAAAACCAAATTGGTTTCTTAAAGCACAACCTGATGGCTAAGTCGTGTATTCCTATGTTTATTTGGATGTGTGTAAACTGAGTCGCCCTCCGTACAATCGCTGGCCGGTCGATCCCACTTCGAAGTTCCAACTTCCAGTCGGCTCGGGCGCGACTAACAACGCGCACTACTATTATGCGCGTACGCACGCGAATGACAAATTCGATCGTGTAACGATTTTTTGTGATAGTGTTGTGCCGTGTGCGAATTTTCGACAGTTTTTACTTCTGTTGGCATCCGGGTGATAAGACAACGACATTATTAAAGTAATGCTTGACTTGTGTCGACAGTGGCGAAGTAAACTCGAAAATAAATTTAGGTATTACTGCTTTTTTCGGGAATAACACTACAAGTACTGTTGTTAGATACTGTTTATCTTTCACTTGTATTTATATTACCATAGTTGTACTTACCTGAATTAACTCACTTAGACGGATGTTATAAGATATTCATATAGCGTATTTGAAAGAGCTCCAACTTTGAAATTGGTCTAAACATGAACAGATATGATTTGTGTTCTACATTTTAGATACGTACATGTTCGTTTTTCTTATAAATATTATTATGAAAATTGCGTGTTATTTTCTATGCTTTTAATTGCTAGAAACTTTAGCAAAACTTAGTAGAATTAGGACATATAACGATAAAGCTCTTAGGAAGCTCTACCTATGTTTAAATGGATCGTGCAGTTAAGTAGCACAAAACAAGCGATTAGGGTGTTAGAAAATGTCTAGCGCTTAGAATGACATCTGTAAGCCTGGTTTATAATCCTCAATATTGCTAAGCGGCCCCGCAGAGTCGCCACTTAAAATACCAAGTCTTTCGAACAACCGTTATGTTTACTTGACCAATATTTTAGGGCATAAGATCATATTTATATCCCTTCCTTGAATATCAACGGAACATGAATTATTCATAAATTCCTCACTGATGGAAGATTACCAAGCTCAATTATTGATAGATTGATCTGTTATCGACAAACATAAACTATCTAGATACTATAACTAAGCTAGATAGCAATAGAAACATTTTTATCATACTAAATATGCCGGTATGGAAAATTGGAAACTAAAGATTAAGTCTGGCTATTAGTCAAAATAAATTAATAATTAACAAACTTATTAATGTTTTATAAATAATCTTGTTTTTTAATAAAAAATGTTTAATGTTTTAGATGTTGTTCACTACCGTTATCGTTTGCATTTTATTGAATGACCTTTTAATATTAATTGACAGTTTTAATCACCATTTCTTGTTTATCTTGTTATTTTTTAAAAATTTTTCATTGCTGCTATATTTGTAAAGGCCGTTGTTTCGAGAGCAATACGACTTTGACCATCACATTTTGCTCCTAAATCGTATACGTCCCAATGCTTAAAGAATCTTCTAAATGGACGTTACAGTGATCACAAGCCCGCATCTGTTATTATCAACCCGCTATAACAATTTCAAGTACTTACAAAATAATTGCGTTTTCTAAGCACGACTCCCAGGCATTGACCTTTTGTACACAATTCCATTTTAACGGCTAAATTACGGACACTTCTTTTTTTAATATTTACTAAATATCGGCTTATAACTCTATCGTCTAAAAACCATGATCCGATCATTTTCGTAATAATCTTTTAGCCTTGGTATTACTTAGTTAGATTACTTTCTCATATGTCTTAAAACGAGGGGGATGGCTGTTCTGTTTAGTTATGGTTCTATTATTAAAATAAGTTCTGATTAATATTAGGATGATATTAAGGTTCTATTGGAATGTTTATTAACATGAAAAATAGGGCCTGGAAGCAAATTCATTTTGTATTTGTAGCAACGAAACACGCCTTGTATTAATACGTATATATCGTATTGTATATATAATCGTGGGGAATCAATTTATTTAGGCTTTCAACATGCAAAAGGCAATCATGCGAAAAATGATGTCATTCTAAGTGCATAACTAGTTTTTAATATTTGCACAGCTGCGGATGCCAACCGTAGTGAAATGAGTTTCCTCAGTTTTACTAGAAAGTGGGTCATATTCTTTGGTGAACTATGAACAAGTGATTCGTACTGGTGATTCGATGTGATGGTGTTCAGCGATGCCAGACTGGCGATACAACGTGCTGTCGACGAGCGAGGCGTTTATCGGGGAGGGAGGTCCACAACGCGACCCATTCGCCGCCAGCTATCCACGTCGTGCTGACCGCACCCGACCCCTGCATACTTGCCCCTACACGACGATCTTCCATGGCGCGCGCTCCCACGTCCCGTATCGTCTACCCCTCAGCGATTCCGGAGATCCCTACGCAGATGCATATTCCGTAGACAGATCTTCCAATTTGACGGACACCTCGAGTTTCGCTCGTTACGAAGACTGTCGCTCTCCCGTAGAAAGCATCCAATCGCACCAAAACGAACGTAATTACACTAGCGAGAGATCGGATGCCAACATCGGAGTACAAAAAGTGTCATACGCTTCTAATGTGTTTTTTATCTCGACTCAAACGGACGCACAGGAGAAAGATGTAAATGCCGCTAATCTCTTCGTTGTGGACGGATCTGAATCGGATGCTCTATCTTCCTGTACCTGTGATAGTTTTGAGCGATGCGAGTTCGATTGTAGAGACTTTGAACCGTTCTCTGACACCTGTTGCTGTGATCCTCTCAGCGATGGCGTGTGCAGCCGGAGTCCTAAACACGTGGACTCTCCTGAACAGTTCTGCGAAAGGAATGTCGAAGATGATGGGGTGTCGGCGCGAAGTGATATGGACGGGTTGGATTTAGCGCTGTTCGAACCGGCACAGACGGATACTAAGGGATGCGAGAAACATTCTAATGAACTTCAAACGCAAAACTCCGTTGCGGCGGCCCTGTGTGGGGTTTTGCATGCTCTTCCAGATGCCAACAATGGTAATTATATATTTAGTACTAAATAATTATAAGAATTACTCCAGCGCAAGGGACTCTTGAGCTTTGATGCCACATGGGCTTTTATTGACTCGTATCGGATACGAGCAACGGTGTGAGGTATTACTATCGCATCAATCACAAAGTCATTGTCGTGCTTGCAATTCTGAACATCACGGTGTAAGTATATCAAAGAATGTCATAACACGAAAGAGGAAGAAACTGAAACAAGATTAAATTGTAATACATAGGAAAGGCATGTAGTTTAATACTCCATGTTCTCCGTTATGAGTATGGATGGCGTGTTACTTTATCTGTGACTTTTTGCGTTTACGTGACACAGTTGCGAGCTCAAATTGAATTTTAATAATTTGATATGACGCCATTAAGACGTAACCGTATCTCTAATGTGAAACTGTTCATCGCGGAAGCTAGAAGAGGTTTTATGGGAGAGGTAGCGCGCTTGGCGTACCGTTATTGACTCAAGTTTCTAATTACCGGCAGATATAGAGGACGATTGTTAACTTACATGCAAATCCGACGGATCTTGTACCAGATAAAGATGCACGTGATTTCATTAATAATGTATATCTAACGGTGAATGCACTTTTTCTTGCAAAGAAACTGTGACACATTTATCTCGGTGATCCAGTGTTAGCAATCTATGGCTTATAACCAACACGTCATGGATTCGATTACCACCAGATCAATTATTTCTTAATCATTTTTAATCTAGGCGATGGGCAAATTAACGGGGTGTTGATATACATATAAAATAAATGTTAATTTTAAATTTATATTTCGGGTTAAGTTTCTGAACACCCAAAGATAAATTACGGACCGCGCATCTTTGTCTGATGTTAAATAACTGGCGTATTTCTCCTACCATCAAGTAAGCTCGCCTGTATTGCTCTATCATGAAAAAGAAGTATAGATAATAAAACTTAAAATTAATTCATATTAACTGTATTTTAAAATAACCCCAATTATGTCATGTCAGGTGTCATTATTGTTTTAAAAAATTCTTGGATGCATAACAAATTCGTTAACGTTCGTCGGGATTTGATAACAGGTTTTCGTGAGCAGGTTTTATGGCGAATATTAAATTGTAGGTTGACTAACAGCTGATATTACTTACATCAACTTATTGTATGGACAACATCTTTTTATTTTATCAAAAATAAATACCTATATATTTTAAAAATCGAATATAAATAAGCTCAGAGCAACACCACGGAACGCTGACGATGCCGGTTCAATGGCTGAGTCGAAAACTTTTTCAATTTATTTATTTTCGAATTTAAATTATATAGTGCCATCATGTGCAATAACATGTAAAATAATAAAGTTTTCAAATACCTATATAATTAAAACGACCCCATTTGATGACACAGTAAAACAACTGTTAGTAACGTTTTTGGAAGCGGCACATATCAAATAAAAAGTTTTACCGACTTAAAACTGCAAACTATGAAATACATTTTAATAAAAACCAATCGATTTAAACTACACATTTTTAGGACTGTTTCTTTATTACGTGAATAGTACATTTAACGGTTTAAAACGCGAAATTTAAGTTATGTACAACCTATTTTAAATACGGCCCGACATTTCGGATGGTTTGCAGTCGTGGTCACGACTAATACGTTCGCGTTAAATCGTTAAAAGTGATTTGTTTAAATACACATGTTATTTAAAATTTTGCTTGGACTTCCTTTACTTTTAATTAAAACTAATTTAAGTTATATATATAATTAATAAATTTAAATTAATTCCTTCTTAGTCAGGCCTACCCGTGATAGAAGTGGTAAGAATTGATGTCACTATTCGGGAATTCTTTTTCAGTCGCAACATTTTGTGTTGACTAAAAGTCGGTTCCCGAGTGCGTAATAAAACATGTACTGGAAACTTTTATTTCATATTTTTTGCCACGTGTATTTTGTACTCCTTTTGTCAAACAATAAAAGGCCATGGCCGCTGGACGTGGCGGAGCGTATAAACATCAGAGCACTCGATGAGAACCACACGGTCAATGTTGTATGTTTATGATTCTTTCAATTTGCTTAAACTAGATTTAAGGTTTCCTAATCCGTTTGCTTTCGTTACAAAATTAAATATACTAACTTGTATCTACTATTAATGTTGTGAAATAATAAGTATAGTCTGTAGATTACTCATGTAGACGCATTTAAATATTTGTATAAAACCGTTAAAATGTTTTATTCACCTACTACGCGCCTACACACAGACATCGGTTTAAAACTCGAAAAATATATTAGTAAAACTGTTGATAGTGTTTTTTAACGTGTTCCACTCGTGACTACTAAGGATCAACTGATATTAACTGAAGATGTAGGAACAACTATTCAGTAAGTTTATAAAGATGACGGGGTTTGCGAAAACTAATTTGGACGAAGTCGCTGGCACAGCTAGTAAGGAAAGCATAAGAAGTGATTCCTGTCTACCGGCACAAGACTTAGTCTCTATTTCCTGTGCAACTCGTTAGTGAGCCTCTAATCAGTTACGTGCAAGTTTCAGTTAGCGTCATTCGTTAGGTAGCCTTACTTGTAGTTCAATTAACCTCAGGCATCGCATGTACATATTTGAAAGTTTTTTCTATACTAATATTATGAAGCTAGTAAAAAAAAACTTTTTGTGTTGGTTAGAGCATTAATTGAGGAAGGCTTTGGACAATAAAACATAATGCTGCGACTATTAAGAGCGAAGACATAGTAGGAAATATGAAAAAAAACGGCGGATCCAGGGTGGTGGGTCCTAGGTTCATGACCCTCTCTTGAGCTGGTTCCAGGCCTTAGGCCTAATTGAACATATTGATTTTATTTATAAATTATTATCTTGTAAATTCTGAGATGAATATTTTCAAGTACACAACGTTTACGAACATTAATAAAATATCTATCTATCCACCATTGCATATAACATAACCGATGTTACTTCTAAACCGTTAAAAGTGTTTTATTTATTTAAGGTGTATCACTCGCATAGGTACACCTGACATATTTCAATTCTCAATAGACACAGTGATTTCATGTAATGCCGAGCAATTTGTGTGCGAAACAATACAGAATGTGAAATTGAACTTACGGTACCTAATTATGGTCGTTTCGATGTGGTTTAAACTTCGATTATAACGCGCCAAGCCTCTAAACACAGAACCGACCACTTGTTAGTCATACACATAATTGTTTTTGTTCGCAATCATAAACCCATTATTTTTGTAAATATATTTTGAATGCGCATGCGCATGTTTTTATACGAGAAAAATATATAATGTTATATTTGGCAAAAGAAGTCCAGTTTAACGTGTTTCTTAAATTTAAATAAGTGTAGTGTTGCAAAGCAAATAGGAAAGATATTAAAGCAATAAAGCATGCGATTTTATATGTCCGAGGTACTTGTTTGATGTTTTTATCTGACTTTAAAAATTATGTTGCTTGATTACTAGACTACACTTTATATCTTAGTGTTTAATATCGTCAAGAAAGTCCAGAGACGATTAAAGTGTCCGTTTCCCATTTGTCCCTATTTGTATCTATGTATTTAATTAATAATAATATAAAGCAAGTAGTTGAGATTGTGCTTAACTCGACTGTAACAATTATTTCTTGCCAAGTTTCGAATCTCGGGGATGTAATGGATTATTTTCTCTGGGTAGGGCATTAATAAAATCAATCAGGAAAAACCGTTTCGTACCAGATTCTAGTCGTCTAACTGTGGAAAGTAAACTATACAATTAAACACTGATATAAAGCTACACACGTGAAAACGTGATCTTATCTAAAAGCTGACGGACCGTATCGATTAAATAGGAAACATAAGCTCTAGAGACCCTATTAAACGACCATAGATAAGATAAACTAAAGCCGAGATAGTGAGATAGCAGAGCTTATTTTGAGATAATTGCGAGATCGCCTTTGTTTACTAATGTAGAATGGCAACTGAACACCAATTAGTTACAAATCGTGCCCCGTACTAAATCAATCGGAGTGTATTGTTATTTTCTAGCTGTCGTAAATCTATAATTATCACAGACTAGATGTGTACGCGTGAAGTTTTGCGCATGAAAATTTATTTTGCAAAGAATTTCCTCAGTTTTAGAAATTATATCTGTTACCTACCACAATGTGCACGTCCCGAGTTAATTTTAAAAGATATAGCGATATTATCGTAAACTTTAGTATATTATTTAAAGAAGAATAACTATTTTCCACATATTTTTTCGACACCTTAAACCGTTTTTGCAGTGTACGCAACGAAAACTCTCAAATATGAATAATTTCCTTGTTTTTTCCAAATGTCCCTTTGTCTTTCGTTCCAATTGGCCGCAACCGCACGTTTTTAATAGCCTTCCGCGATGCTCTAATCAACACAAAAAATATTTTTTCAACTCTAGCCAGTTCCTAGGATTAGCGCTTTTAAACAAACAAACTCTTTAGCTTTATAATATTAATATACATTAAGTATTGTAGTACTAAATAATTAATATATAAAACGTGTGTTGAACTAATTATATCGACTTCTATAAGTGAATTAGTATGTGTGCGTAAGTGTTTGAAAGTCCTTATTTTTAGATTTAATGGTGTTTTTTATGGGTGACGGTGGTTAAGAATTACCAAGCTTTGTATGTTGTAAACAAAAACTCAGAAATTATTGTTTATCAAAGTGTTAAATACTCTAAGAAATTTCGAAAGAAAAAATGTGTTACGTTACCTACTAGTTTTCGGAAGGACCTGCCTACTATGACTGCGACAAGTCCGTTATGTCGGATGTCTTTGGATATTCGGAAACCGAAACGCGATTGAATTTCATCTGTGGACGGTGGTTCGTGACCCGAACCTGTCAAAAAAGGCGATCCAGAAATGATCTCGATCGCAGAATGTTTCAACACATAGTAGCGGTCATTGGCTTTTGAATAAGAAGACGTGGTCGCGCTTGGTAAAATAGCAGTCATTACAAAAAACAGCCGATCAGTGTTACATCCT